CCTCTATCTCAGCTTCCAAGAGGAGCGAGGTGGGCCTGAGGGCTGGAAAGCTAACAGCCTCCTGCTCTGAGGGCCCTCCACCAGGCCTCCCTTCCCTGGGGTAAGAAGACCCTCCCCCAGTGCTTAACTGTGGGCCCAGCTCTGCTCTGTTGTCTGGGAGGGAGTGGCTGGCCTGCATCCAGACTCACCTGATTAGCTTCGCCCCTTTGGGCGTGAGTCACATTTCTCTTCTCCTGTCCACCCTGGACCCTTCGCCCTCCTGGCATCAGCTGCTGAGTAGGCACTTTCCCATCTCCGGGGTGGGAGCAGACCAAGGTCTTGTCCTGGGCGCCACAGCGCACGTGCCCACGCATGCACACGGAAGCCAGCGCTGAGGCTGGGCTCGTGGCCGCTCAGACATCTGGGACCCAGGATCACGACAGAGCCAGTGGCTGGCCTGGCAGGAGCTGGCCCATGGCGCAGCAGCAGACTTGGAAGAGGGGACGCTGTGGGCGCACCTCGGCCAGACCTCCCGTTGGAAGGAGAGCCCCCCAGCTCCCGACATCTTCAGGGTCCTGTCTGCAGAGGAGGAGCTACCAGGTGGCAGGGTGAGAAGTGCCTTTGAACTCACGAGGGTCTTCAGGCTCTCTGACAGCATGAGCGGCCCTGGTAAGACAGGACACTCACTGGTCTGGAGACATTGGCCTGAACCTCTGAAGGGCAGTGGTGAGACTGGGAACTCTGGATAGTGGTTTCACCCTGTGCTCCCACCCCACCCTTCTGATGTTAAATAAAGTCTTTCCTGGAAATAGAGGGGTTGGTATAGACAAGATGACCCAATAATTTTTTAAAATATTTATTTATTTGGCTGCACTGTGTTTTAGTTGCAGCACACAGGATCTTCGATCTTCCTTGCAGCATGCGGGATCTTTAGTTGTGGCATGCAAACTCAGTTGTGGCACGTGGGACCTGGTCCCCTATCCAAGGATCAAACTTGGGCTCCTTGCTTTGGGAGCTCGGGGTCTTAGCCACTGGACCACCAGGGAAGTCCTGGATGGCCTGCTAATGATGGCGCGCTGGTGTGTTCATTCAGTTTTGCATGTGGAGGGTGTGTCTCTTGCCCATCATGGATGGGGGCAGTGTTTGGACTTCAGGGTCAGTTCAGTCCTGCCCCTGTTGCTCAGGAAGTGGTTGCCTTAGGTGAAGGACCTCGCTTACCCGAGTTTTAGTTTCCTCCTTTAGAAAATGGAGAGAGGAACAGTATTGCCTCATGTGGTTGTGAGAATTCCGATGAGATAATGTCAACAGTACTGCTTGCCTTTTGCCTTACCTGGTGTTGTGACCAAGGGCTGGTGGCAGAGAGAGTCAGCGGACAACATTTGGCAGTTCTCAGAACCCTGCCCTCTCCTTGATCACTGTAGAAACCAGGGCTCAGGCCCCCAGCTGGGAAGGAAACTATTCTTAAAACGTTTCTACGCTTCCTTACCCCAAGCACCCTCTCCAGGTTATCATTATCGTGAAAAGCTCTGGCAAAGCTCCAGAATGATTTCTATCCTCACCCCTCGCTTCCATAAAGGAACCTCCCCTTTCCTTCTTTGGGGGATCCCCTCAGGAAACAGGGCTGCTTCTCCCCTCTGGCCCTGGCCACCCAGCAAAGGAGATTCTTGCTGAGAGAGCAGGCCCCGGGGGAGGGGGGCATAGTTGTCTTTCCCCGCATCCTGGCAGGATCCAGCACCTGGAAGCAGGTAGGGAGTAGGCCCTGTGCTGGAGGGCATCACGCTCGTGACATCAGCAGTGCTGGGTCCCCAGACCCTCTCTGCCAGCAGGCCACGGGCTGAGGCCAGGAAAGGGGGCCCTAGGCCCCTCCCTGTTCCTGGCACGGAGCTCAGCTGGCAGCACCCCTTGCCACGGCTGGGCCGGGTGCCACGCTCTGGGCTGACGCCAGACCTGCCTGGCTGCTTGCCTGGGCAAGGTGGCTCTCCAGTGGACGGCTGATGTCCCTGATAATGGTGCCCGGCGCAGGGAATGCCGCCTCTGGCCAGACCCTTGCTGTCCCTTCCAGCCCTGGGGAGCAGAAAGGGCACCGAGCTCAGAGTCACAAGCCCTCGGTTCTAGTTTGGCTCTACCCCATCGTCCAAGTGGCCTCGGGCCGGCCACTGCCCTTTCTGAGTCTTCCCTTCTTCACCTGGTAGATGAGGGCCCAGACCTGGGGATTCCTAGAGCCCCGTCCAGGATGGCTGGTTTGTGGTTCCAGCTTTTGCCAATCCTGCTTGCAAGGGGAGCTGTCCTCGGAGACTCCAGGAGGGACTCTTGATCCCCCAAACTCTGCAGCTGAGGCCGGGGTAGCTGGCCCTTGCCATCGCTCTGGTGGGTGAGGAAGCCCTGGAAGGCTGCCTCCTTGTCAGATGGGAGGAGAAAAAGTACTTTCCAAAGCAGTGGGTGTGGGATTCAGACATCATACAGTCACTGATGCCCAACGGCAAGGCTTGAAGAACCATGGCTCTTGGCCAAATCCAGCCTATATTAGTCTGACCTGTGAGCTAAGAATGATATTTATAGGTTTAAGTGGTTGGGAAAAATTCAAAAGATGAAAGTAATATTTTGTGACACTTGAAAATTACATAATATATGAATTTTAGTGTCCACGAGTGAAGGTTTACTGGAATGCAGCCACGCATTCCTTTCCATCCTGTCTGTGGGTACTTTTAGGGGGATAGAGTTGTGTGACGGCAGCAGAAACCGTATGGCCACAGAGCCTAAAATACTGGCAGTCCGGCCTTTACAGGAACGCTTGCCCACCCTGCTTAGATAACCATAGTTCTTCCAAGGTTTGCACCAAACAGTTCTGGAATCTCTATCTAAAAATACTTTCTTTTCATTTAAAAAGAAGTGTTGTTCTTTTAACATTAGCAATGAAAGTTCATTATGGAAATATTAGAAGCTGCAAATAAGCAAAAAGGAGGTATTAAAATCACCTGTAATTCTGTCACCCAGTTAGATAACTACTGTTAGCATTTTAATTTAGAGCCTTCTGGAATATATATATATTGTGTGTGTGTATGTGTGTGTGTGTCCTGCTGAATTATATACAGTGTTTGTCTACAGGTATTTATAGGGTGTACATGTATGACACATATGTCTAGCACACAGCTTTTATAAGTTGCACACAAATGCCTTTTTCATTTAAATACACATCTCAAACTGCTTGCTGTCTCAGGGACTGTCCTAGGCCCAGTGGAGTAATTCTAGTATCCCAGGCCCTGGGGCAACATCCAGACCGAGGTGCCCAGCAGGCCTGAATGCAGGGGCTTGGTAGGGCCTGAGCTGCGAATCTGGAAGTCACCAGCACGTGGGTGGTGGTTTCCACGGCAGGAAAACCTGAGATCACCAGGATGAGCATAGAGACAGAACAGAGGACCGAAGAGGGAACTCTGAGCTGCATGACATTCAGGGCCAGGTAGAGGAAGTGAGTTCCCAGACAGGGGAGAGAGGAGGAAGCCGGAGAACCAGGGGCTGGGGGAGGGGAGACACAAGGAGACTGGGACTGGGAGAAGCCAGTGCCGTGCCCAAGCTCTGAGTGGTGGGTGCCGCTGACGGGACATCTAAAGCACGGGGTGTTCGGAGGTGTCCCAGAGTGGGCCTTGGAGACAGAGAGGAGCAGGACAGTGGTCGTGGCCGCAGCGGCTGCCTGGACCCCGCCTGGTGAGAGGGAGGTAATGCTGAGTGTGAGGAGGCCAGCGTGCCCTGAAGGGTGGAGAATGTTGGCCAGGGTCCTTCAGAACGTGGGCGTGGCGTCGCAGGGCCAGACTGGTGGTGGGGAGTGCAGGGAGTGCAGTATAAATAGGAACGTGGTCTGGAGATGTGGGAAACCCTCCCCTCCGGCCCCCTCACTGCTCGGGAGACAGCTGTTCCCCTGGGATGCACACTTGAAGGCCCCTGCTGTTCTGTTGCGAAAGTTGGGCGTGGTGAGAAAAACAGTGAAGTTTCTCAGTCGTGTCAGACTCTTTGTGACCCCATGGACTGTAGCCCACCAGGCTCCTCTGTCCATGGGATTTTCCAGGCAAGGGTACTAGAGTGGGTTGCCATTTCCTTCTCCAGGGGATCTTCCCAACCCAGGGATCGAACCCGGGTCTCCCACACTGCAGGCAGACGCTTTACCCTCTGAGCCACCAGGGAAGCCCAGAGATATTAACTAAGATCCCCTGACAGGCTGTTCAGTCTGGACGAGCAAAGACTAAAGGGCAGGCAACCTGGGTGCTCTTTATTTCTCCTCCTGTTGGTTAAATAGAGGATGGTGGGCCTCAGGCTCTGTGCTTAAGCAAACAGAGTGGAAACAGAGATGAGCTGTTTCCACTGAGATTTGGCAAGGAACACTTAAGAAAAGGCTCCAGACTTTGGAATTTTAAAAACACTGGATGGTAGATGAGGGGCCTTCCTGGAGGGTCTTTAATACATGCTGCTGAAAGGAGTGGAGGGTCTCTTCTGTCTGGGAGGTGAGGTGGGCCTGGTCTGGAAGCAGATGTAGGAGACAGAGGTCTTGCCTGCCCTGGCTCCTTACTCCCACCTCTGGTCTGGGATGTCTGGGACGGCCAGGGCCAGAGCTGACAGAAGGGTGCCTCGTCCCACCTTATCGCTTAGAAATCCACAACCTCTCCAGAGATTCCAGGCCAGCCTTGCCTGGGTGTCCAAAAAAGGCCAAAAGAGAAAATGCCAGAAGATAATATATGTGGCCTCATTCCTTGAACCCCTGGAAGCCAAAAAGAGTGACAGGGTATCAGCAGGGCTGATGGGGTGGTCTGGGGTGAGGAGGGGTCATCTGTAGGGGTCAAGGTCTGAGCCTAGGTGGTACACGTGACCCGTGAGGCCCTGGAAATCTGCCCCTGGGGGACGGGAGCCCAGGAGGAGGGCCCCGGAGCCTGCCAAGCTCCCTCCCCACAAGACCTGGGAGCCCCAACTCAGCACATGTTCAGCTGGAACCTCTCTTGAGGATCGTCTCCATCCCCTGTCTACGCCTCGCCAAGATGTGGCAACTGCCCACCCCAAGGCCTGCACAGACCTCAGTGGGAGCGCGGCTGCTGGGCCGGAAGCTGCTGTCTCTGCCCCAACCCCCCCCCCAAACCCGCAACGCAACCCCAACGCCCCGGGAAAGAACCAAACCTAAAACCGAAGCCTGGAAGCCAAGGGGCAAACGGCAACCCCCGGGCCGCCCGCCTAACCCCAAAAAACCCCCCAAACAAAAAAACCGGGCCGGCAAAAAATCCACCAACGCCTGGTCCAAGGTTTGGGCCAGGCCGAACCCCGGGCCAAGGGCCAAGGAAGGAAAGAAGAAGCAAGACAAGCCCTGCCCCTAAACCAACCAAAAGCAAAACAAGGAAAAAAAAAAACCAACAAGCAAAAGAAAACAACCCAAAGGCCCCGCCTGGGGAAAACCAAAAAGCCGGGGGGGCCCAGTGAGGGCCCCACATGGCCGGGCCAGCAGAGTTTCAGGCTAGAGAGAACAGGAGGGGTGTGGCAGGAGGCCTATGAGGAGGAGGCCACGTCTGCCTTGAGCCTTGAAGATGCAGACACTCGGTTGGCTTCCCCCGGTCCCTGGCGCACCGGTCCCTGGGTTCCAGTTTCCATGGAGAGTCAGGAGAACCGAAGAGGAAAGGTGTCCCAGGGAGTCCTGGGCTGGCTGATGGACCCCCACGCTTGCTCTCGTGTCCCCAGGAAGAGGGCAGGGCCAGGCCACCCACGTGGGCTCGAGTCCCACCTGCTAAGAGTTGGGGCTGGCCTGACAAGGAAAAGATAAACGTAGAGAAGCAGGACCTGCCGGCCTGAGAGTGGAAGAAAGGGTCTACACGCTGACAGAGTGTCCTGGGGGGTCAAGGGCTTTGTCTTCAACGGGTCTAACGTTTAAATGCAGCAGAGAGGCTCAGATGAGCCATTGCAGCGTGCGGGCTGTGGTCTAATTCGGTGTGTCCATTCATTCCACCAACACTGGCCAAGCGCCTGGAAGGTTGGTTCCACGTGAGGCCGCGGAAGCAAAGCTGCCCGAGTCCGTGCTCTTGCCCTGAAGGACATGTCAGTCTGGAGGCATCTCGTTTTACCTCCAGGGAGGGGGGGCGGCCATGTGCAGCCTCCCAGGGGAAGCAGCAGCTGAGTTTGGAAGCAGTCTTACCGAGGGAAAAGCGAGGAAGGCCTTCCCAGGGCCAGGAGGGTGCTTTCCTCTGAGAATGTCAGCTGCGTTCCTGACAGCTGGACCCTCCAGGCAGGGGTGAGAGCAGAGAGAAGGAGACGGGTCAAAACACAACGGGTCAAAACACAAGAGGCCTAGTCTTCTGGTCGCTGGAGTTTGGACTTTTTCCTGAGGGTGGTGTTAATACTGAAGGATTTAAAACAGGGAAGTGACATCATCAGAAGGCAGCTGAGAAAGTCAGGTCTCACAGCTGGTGGCAACTGGATAGGAGGTTGGACATTATCCCCATTTTGCAGACAAGGATGCTGAGGTGTTCCCAGGTCACAGTGCTAGTAGGTGGGAGAGCTGGGGCTCCTCCCATGACTCCAAACTGCAGAGCCTTCTGGCGAGCAGGCCCGAGCAGCACATGGCCCTCACGATGGGACTCTTGCATCAGGTAGGATGCCATTCCTCACTGCTGTGGCACCTGCCCGCCCGAGGCCCGCACAGGCCTCCCTGGGGCAGTGGCTGCTGGCCGGAAGCCGTCCCCTCTTCCCCAGCCCACCCTGCCCCCACTGCCGTGGGGAAGAATTGGGGTGCAGTTGTCTAGGACAGGGGCGACCCAGGGCCCCAGACAGCCGCCTCCTGACAGGCTTCCTGCGGGTTAGTCCAGCTTGCTCCAGGAAGGCCTTCCCCACCTGCCCCCGTGCATTCTGGCAGGAGCTGTGGGAATCTGAGCTCTGTCCCTGCATCCAGAGCATCTGCTCATGGGCAGGGTGACCACAGGCCTTACTGTCCACTGGGCCCCGGCCCCTCAGAAGGGCCCGGGCTGATGGCCTCTCCCCTTGGCTGGAGCTCACAGAGCAAGGTGAGTGATGAGAGCTCCAGGGCCTCTGCTTCCCCGCTTCCTCCCGGCTCTGGGCAGTCATGGAGTGACTGGCTTCCCCCGAGGTTTGTTGCAAGCTAGGGAAACTAAAGCCTCAAGCTGTGCAGGGCAGGGTCAGTGAGAGGGTGAAGGAAGAGATGCTATCTGCCAGCTCCCTGCAGGCACGGTTCTGCTGGGCGGAAGGGGTGTCTCTGAAGTCCCAGCGTGTGATGTGTGCAGACTTGGTCAACCGTGGCCCCTGGTTATTTTAAAACCTGCCCATGGGCCCAGAGTGGCCGAGGCAAGCAGTGGAAAGTGTAATGAGGACCGGAGCTGGTGGTCAGCCTTTGAGAATGAGGGACAGACCCTCGGGGCTTCGGGAAGCGGGCAGTTGGAAATTGCTTCCTTTATCTCCTAGCCCTGGCCTCACAGAGACTGAGACTGAAAAGAAAACAAAGCAGAAAGGGGGACTTGAGAAAGCACTCACATGCCTGGACTCAGTAGGTGTTCCAAGTGCAGGTGAGAGAGCCAGGCTGCTGTGTGCCACAGAGCTAGCCTGGGGGTCGAAGCGCGCCCGCTGAGGGCGTGGGCAGTCCTGCCCGTGGCCCCGTGGATGACGCACTTTCACAAGTGTGCCCGTCAGGAGGGCTCCCTCCTGGGGAGGCTTCTGGCGATGTGGGACCCGAACCGCATGCCATGGTGGGGAGTGGGGAGAGCCCCAGAGGAAGGTGGTGCGGCTTCTGAAGGGCCCTGGGTTGCAGGCTGCGAATCAGGGCTTTTTAAAAAAAAAATAAACTGTATCTCTTAATTATTTTGGCTGTGCTGGGTGTTTGTGGCTGGGCACCAGCCTTCCCTAGCTGCGGTGCACAGGCTTTTCTTATTGCAGCCCACAGACTCAGCTGGTCCTCGGCATGTGGGATCTTTGCAGGCCAGGGATTGAACCCATGACCCCTGCATTGACAGGCAGATTCTTAACCACTGGACCACAGGGAAGTCCGAGTGAAGGCTCTATTGAGGAAGGCAAAGGGGCTTCTCACAAGGTTTCCTGAGGGATCTCAGAGCCTGGCTTCCTGGAAGTTAGGAGGTTATGCTGACCTAGCCCTCTGCAGTGGCCTGCAGCCAAACTCCTGTGAGGGAGGCCGTGGCCCAGCTTCCCCGATGTTCTGCCAGGCTCCTTTTCTGTCCCCAGGGTCTGCCCATCTGGGTCTTCCCGGTGTCCCAGCCAGAGGGCGGGGGTTAGTTCTGGGTCCTGGCGGAGGTTGTCCTGGGGGTGGGGAGCAGCCGATGTCTCTGCGCCTCCTGGATGGGGGTGATCAGCCTGCAGGCCGGTGGCCTCCCTGGGGATGGGCGCTGTCTGCCCAGGGGCTGGAGGGCCCTGCCTGGTGGTGTCAGCCATGGGGGACCCCTCCTGCCTGCCCTGCCCTCCATCTGGAGGCTCCTGCCTGCCAATCGCTGACCACGTCCCTGCTTCCTGTTCCTCTTCCATCCCAAGATCTCAAAGCGCCTTATGGACGGTAGGAATGTCTGTGAGGGATATGTGTTATAGGATGAGCTTTATATGGGCCTCCTTTCTGATATATTTTTACATCTGTGCCGGAAGCCGAGGGAAAAAAAAAAGAGAGAAGAGAGCTAACATTTTCTGAGTGCCTTCCTTGTGTCAACTTGGCACCCCCACTCAGGCATCAGTGAATGTAAAGCTCATGCCCCAAACCCACCAGGCCTCTGCTTCCAGCACCCGTCACCCCCACAGTGGCTGCCCGTGCTTCCCTGGCTCAGGCCAACCCCTACGGAGCCCCGCGGGGCTCTTTTCTCACCCCCCGTTTGCAGTCTGTCAGCAGATCCCTCCGGCTGCCCCTCTGCGACACACCCAGGAGCCAGCGCTTCTCCCCACCTCCGCTCTGCCGCCCTGACCCCGGCCATCACCCCCGTCACTGTCGCCTCCTGGCCAGCCTCCCTGCAGCCTCCGTGCTGCAGTCAGAGGGAGCCTGTTAGAACCTAAACCCGATCAGATCACTCATCCCCTCAGACCCTCCCAGATGCCACGGGGACCCAGCATGATCTGCTGCTCCCAGATCACCCCAAACTCACTTCTGCCTCAGGACCTTTGCACCTGCCGTTTCCCTGTTACCTGCTTCCCCCGGATTCTGTACGACTAGCCTCCTCCCCAGTGCCTTCTCAGAAGTTTCCTCAGAAGATGCCACCTTCTCAAGGAGGACTTCCTGATCACCGTATTTAAAACTGCAACACCTCGCCTCTCACACCCCATCTCTTTCCTGTTTTTTCTCCCTTGTACTTGTCGCCATCTAACATGTTGTGTATTTTATTTAATTATATTGTCTGCTACCTCTCCCAACCCCCATTAGAGTGTCAGCACCATGAGGACAGGATTAGTGCCCATTTTGTTCACAAGTAGATTATCAGGGTCAGCAACAGCGCCTGGCACGTATTAGGTGTTCAATAAATAATCATGGGATGAAAGACTAGAGCTGAAATATGAGCAATGGTGTCACTACGAGTGATGGCTGCACGCAGTCATCGGCCGCTAGTGGTAGCCCAGAACTGCCATCTGGGGTTGTCTGGCTTTGAATTTGGGGTGAGGGTGGAGGAGACCTGGGAGGCAGAGAACAGCTCTTACAACCTGGGCCTCTGGAGGGGCAGGGGGGAAGTTCCAGCTAGGAGAAGAAAGGAGAGATGCGGTCACGGAGTTTGTGCACTTGGAAACAGCCAGGAAGTTGCTGCATGATTTTGAGCAAGTCAGTTCCCCTCTGGGAGCCAGTGAGGATTGGGATGCTGGCTCTGTGACTGCCCACTCTGGCTAGCACTCCAGGAGCCCAGCCCTTTCTCACAGCGGCCTCTGGAGAAGTGTCAGTGTCCTCCTGGCCCAGCTCCTCCTTCATCCTGTGCGACGCACTTCTCTGGCACTTCTCTGGCTGGCTGGTGTGTGCCAGGAGGAAGTGATGGCAGTTAGGCAAGAACTTAATGGACTCACTTGGGCAGGAAGACGGGCTAGGGTCCGCCTTCCATCCCTGCAGCTCCCGAGAGGAACTGCTTCTTCAACAACCCCCACACCCAGCCAGGCCAGCATCTCTGAACGCACATCTCCCTCTTCCCCTGGCACCGGTCGCCCGGGGACAGCCCCAGATGGCTCCCTGGCCCTGGGGACAAAGGCCACACTGTGCCCAGCCCTGGGCTGGCTTCAGGCTGGGTGACACTGAGCCGTTCTGTCCCCTGATGCGGGTGAGGGGCAGACTGCACGAAGGTAACAGGCCTTTTTCCTGTCTCCCTTCCCCCTTGACCCTCAAATCTGAGGAGCTGACGCTCCCAAGAAAGAAGTGACAGAGGCATCTTGTGTCCTGAGCTAGGAAACAACAGATCATTCACTGCCCAGTCTGCCCTGTCGCACTCAGACCCTGCTGGGTTCAATGCCCCAATTGTCCCCATCGGAGAGCAGCGTCCACTCTCTGCGGTGGTTACCGCCGCCTGCCCCCCGGCCGCCATCAGGAGGCCCATCCTGATGACTCGCCCCCATCGCTGCTGCTGCAGTGGCAGCCACTTCCTCTCTGTCTCTTCTCAGGCCGCTGAGAGCAGCTGGTCCCCTGTGTTGTCTGCATCGCTTGGCTCCGCATTCCCGCTTAAGTCTCCAGTTTCACTCTTTCCATGCCTCCTGGTCCCACTGGTGGCTCCTTGCTCCCAACTTAGCCACGAGAAGGGCGGGAGGGATTCAGGCTGGTTCTCCTTTGTCTTGTAGAAATTGGGGACTTCCCTCCCACAAGGCTTCTGATGAGTTTCCCTCCCACTCCCCTCCAGGCAAGAGCAAGGGCATCAGATTTATGGCAGCTCCTGGTGGATTCCTGAGTCACCAACTCAACCTGCCATCCCATAAATCCCAGACTGTAGGATGGCTTTATGAGAAGCCCTGTTTCTGGAAGAGGGCATGACTGGCCCCCCCTTGGCAGGAACTGCTTCTTCAACAACCCCCACACCCAGCCAGGCCAGCATCTCTGAACGCACATCTCCCTCTTCCCCTGGCACCGGTCGCCCGGGGACAGCCCCAGATGGCTCCCTGGCCCTGGGGACAAAGGCCACACTGTGCCCAGCCCTGGGCTGGCTTCAGGCTGGGTGACACTGAGCCGTTCTGTCCCCTGATGCGGGTGAGGGGCAGACTGCACGAAGGTAACAGGCCTTTTTCCTGTCTCCCTTCCCCCTTGACCCTCAAATCTGAGGAGCTGACGCTCCCAAGAAAGAAGTGACAGAGGCATCTTGTGTCCTGAGCTAGGAAACAACAGATCATTCACTGCCCAGTCTGCCCTGTCGCACTCAGACCCTGCTGGGTTCAATGCCCCAATTGTCCCCATCGGAGAGCAGCGTCCACTCTCTTCGGTGGTTACCGCCGCCTGCCCCCCGGCCGCCATCAGGAGGCCCATCCTGATGTCTCGCCCCCATCGCTGCTGCTGCAGTGGCAGCCACTTCCTCTCTGTCTCTTCTCAGGCCGCTGAGAGCAGCTGGTCCCCTGTGTTGTCTGCATCGCTTGGCTCCGCATTCCCGCTTAAGTCTCCAGTTTCACTCTTTCCATGCCTCCTGGTCCCACTGGTGGCTCCTTGCTCCCAACTTAGCCACGAGAAGGGCGGGTGGGATTCAGGCTGGTTCTCCTTTGTCTTGTAGAAATTGGGGACTTCCCTCCCACAAGGCTTCTGATGAGTTTCCCTCCCACTCCCCTCCAGGCAAGAGCAAGGGCATCAGATTTATGGCAGCTCCTGGTGGATTCCTGAGTCACCAACTCAACCTGCCATCCCATAAATCCCAGACTGTAGGATGGCTTTATGAGAAGCCCTGTTTCTGGAAGAGGGCATGACTGGCCCCCCCTTGGCGGAACACAGACCTCAGGAAGCCCAGTGCCCAGTTCCGCCACCCACTAGGATGATCATGACTGAGCTTGGGGCATCAGTTTGTGCAATGCAGTTATTTCCTCCCCTCCTGGGTGGGGGGGGGTCCTCACCCTCCGCTCAGCATTCACTCCACCTTCCTGTGGTCCCCCCCCCCCCAGATTCCCCATCTCAGCACATTAGGGCCATCTGGAAACCTGGGCAGAGTCCATCCCTTACCTGGACCTCAGCTACTTCCCAACCATGGCTCCAATGTTCAGACCACTGGGGATGGTTTTTAAAAACACATTTTCCCAGGCACCACTCTCAGAGCCTCAGTTCTAGAATCTGAGAGTGAAACCGAGCAATTGGAATTTTTTCTGACGCTCCTTGCTGATGCTGATGTTCAGCCAACTTGTAAACAGGTGGTCTGTGCAATGGGGAGATCTCTACTCTCCCGTCGTGTGGGAGGTATGAGCAAACACGCAGGGCATGTCGAGGTCCTCCTGTCACTGGAACCTACATGCTGCCTCCATCAGGAAGCCCCCATTCCTGCTCCTATTTCCCTGCGAGCTCCACACAAGAGTGAGGTGGCTGGCAGCCTCTGGGAGCTTTCTGTCCTTGAGAATCCTGCAGACTGTGGGCTCGGGACATCACACGGAGCCTGGAGGAGTGGCTGAGGTTGACTGATGGGGATGAGCTTGGAGATGGAGAAGCAGGGAAGTTCCAGGCTGGTGAGGTTTGCAGGGAAGCTGCAAGAGGAGTTCTCGGCTACCTTCTCACCTCAGGAGCCCTCACAGCCCCAAGTCCCTTGAGAAGAGGGACCAGCCTTCACTCACCACTAGCCCCAGGGCCTGCCTCTTCGTTTGTTGGGCTGAACTGAGTGAGACTTCAGGGCCCACTGGCAGAGATAAGCTCAGCGGGCAGTGTGGACCTGAGGCCTATACTCTGAGAGGTGCCAGCCCGAGGAAGCAGGGGGTCTGGGCTCAGGAGAGCTGGAGGGTCTCAACTTAGCTGCCTTTGGGGGCAGCCAGGAGCCAGGGGAAGGACCCTTTCCAGGCTGGCTGAGGACAGAAGGATGTGATCATTATGCAAAGTAAACATGTTACTGACCCATCATCCCTTAAACCAGGATTCAGGAGGGGCCTGGTTGCCTTGGCAACTGGTTACTGGCCAGTGACAGTGCTGAGAGCATCCTCTGGGGAGGGGCCATGCTTGGTGCATGGGTGAAATCCGGAGAGAGTGCAGGGTGGTCCCTTTCTCGCAGGGCTGGCCCTGATGGCTTCTTGGCAGGCGTTGGGGGCTGGGTGTGCCTGGTGAGGCCTCTTGATCCTGGCCCCACTGTAGCCGAGGGAGAAGTGGGCAGAGCAGAATGAGGGGGCGGACACACTGGAAGCTTATGANCCCCCCGCCTCCTTCCAGAACTCTCTAGGCCTCCAGCAGCTAAAAGGCTACTGTCCAGCCCTGGGGAGACCTTCAGGATCCTATTGGCTCATCAAATCACTATTGTGAGCAATACTTTTCTCTGCTTCCTGTTATATCCTGTTATACCTTCCTGTTATACCTGTGAATGTCTCCCCAGGGGCAGGGAATCCAGAGGGGATAAGATTCCCAGGAAGGAAGATGGTTAGCAACATGTCGCCCTGGCCCCCAAGTGCAGGGTGATTGTCAGAGCTTGATGGGAAGACCCAGGATTCTCACTTGGTGTCAACGAGACCCACTGCACGTTCTCACCCGTTCTCACCGTTCTCACCGTTCACACCCGTTCTCACCTGTTCTCACCCGTTCTCACCGGTTCTCACAGTTCTCGCCCGTTCACACCCGTTCTCACCATTCTCATCCGTTCTCACAGTTCTCGCCCGTTCACACCCGTTCTCACCATTCTCATCCATTCTTACCCGTTCTCACCATTCTCACCCATTCTCACCATTCTCCCCCATTCTCATCATTCTCACCCGTTCTCACCGTTCTCGCCGTTCTCACAGTTCTCGCCCATTCACACCCATTCTCACCATTCTCATCCATTCTTACCCGTTCTCACTGTTCTCACCCGTTCTCACCACTCTCCCCTGTTCTCACCATTCTCATCTGCTCTCACCCGTTCTCATCATTCTCACCCGTTCTCACCGTTCTCGCCGTTCTCACCCGTTCTCATCTGTTCTCACCCGTTCTCACCATTCTCGCCTGTTCTCACCGTTCTCGGCTGTTCTCACCATTCTCATCTGTTCTCACCCGTTCTCATCATTCTCACCCATTCTCACCGTTCTCACCATTCTCGCCCGTTCTCACCGTTCACACCTGTTCTCATCGTTCACACCCGTTCTCACCGTTCTCATCGTTCTCACCGTTCACACCCGTTCTCACCATTCTCATCCTCACGTTACACCCGTTCTCGCCCGTTCTCACCATTCTTACCCATTCTCACCGTTCACACCCATTCTCACCATTCTCATCCATTCTCACCCGTTCTCACCATTCTCACCCATTCTCACCATTCTCATCTGTTCTCACCCGTTCTCATCATTCTCACTGTTCTTGCCTGTTCTCACCATTCTTGCCCGTTCTCGCCCATTCTCGCCCATTCTTACCGTTCTCATCCATTCTCACCATTCTCACACGTTCTCAGCTGGTCTCACCCATTCTCACCCGTTCTCACCATTCTCACCATTCTCATCCATTCTTACCATTCTCACCCATTCTCACCGTTCTTATCCGTTTTCACCTGTTTTCACATCTCCTGTCCCAGGACCTGCTGCTGCTCCCTGCTGATCATGAACAAGATGAAGAACTTTAAGCGCCGCTTCTCCCTATCCGTGCCCCGTACGGAGACCATCGAGGAGTCCTTGGCGGAGTTCACAGAGCAGTTCAACCAGCTCCACAACCGGCGCAATGAGGGTGAGGGGTCTGGGGCCCTTTCCCCACCCCTCCCCTCCCCTGCCTTCCCACACACCAGTACAACTGGCCCTGGTGGGGAAGGACAGAGGTCAGGGTGGACTGTACTCCCCACTCTGCCCCCACCCCGGGGCAGAGGCCGGGAGGGTAGCTGATGCCTCTCCCTTCAGACCTGCAGCTTGGTCCTCTTGATGGAGACCCCCAGCCAGAGTCCAGCACCTTCTCCCCCACAGACAGTGGGGAGGACCGCGGGCAGCTGTCCCCAGGCGTGCAGTACCGGCGGCAGAACCAACGCCGCTTCTCCATGGAGGTGAGGGGCTCCGGGCTCTATGCTGTGGATGTGATAAGAGACACATCCACAAGTGTGTGTGCCCAGGAAGGTGGTTGCCTTGGGGCCAGACTTCAGAGGTTCAAATCCCAGCTCTGCTATTGATTAAATCTGTAACTTTGAGCAGGTTACTCAGCCTCTGCATAACACAGTCTCCTTATGTTACACTGATCATGATGAAGATGAAATCAGTTAATATATGGCACGTGCTCAGAACATTCCTGGTACACAGCAAGGGCTAGACAATTTGACTACTGTTCTTATGCCCATATCCATGTGCCCAAATGTATGAAAAACGGGCTTACCGAAGCACAGTGTCTGCAGGAATCCCATGCTACAGATGGTGACTCTGAGGCCCAGAGAACACTCGGGACCTCCCGAGATCACCCAGCACCGCCTGGATGTCATGTTCGTCTCCGAGCACAACTTTGACGCAATCCCCGCCCAGGATCCAATCCTGCTAGGACTGGTCACAGGGAAGGCGAGACCCAGGGTGGGAGACGCAGGCCCCACAAGCGCTGGCTGCCCGGGAGCAGACTCGGGCACCTTGTCTCATCCTGGCCCCCGCAGGACATCAGTAAGAGGCTCTCTCTGCCCGTGGACATCCGCCTGCCCCAGGAATTCCTACAGAAGCTGCAGCTGGAGAGCCCAGACTTGCCCAGACCGCTCACCCGAATGTCCCGCCGCGCGTCCCTGGTGAGTCCTAAGAGGGTCAGAGGTCACCAGAATGGCCGCCCACGCCCGCGCGCGGTCCTGGATTCGCCTGTGCCAGCTGAGGCCTGCCGCGGTTTCCTGCGAGGTTTCTGGGCCTCTGGCGCCACCTGCTGGCCAGAGAGGATTCCCACAGCAGATCTTCCCTTGTCAGCCTCCATTGCCTATTTGGGTCCCACCAGTGATGGAGCTGGGCTCCAAGCCCACTCTGGATTCCAGAGTCTTCACTGAGATGAGATCAGTAAGCAAGTTGGCACGTGTTTCTGAGTCTTGGCCTGTCAGATTTCCGTGGGAGCATCTTACAAAACACAGATTCTGATCCCCCGTCCAGATGCCTACAGAATCAGACTCTGGGTGGTGGGTCCCGGGAATCTGTTCTTTCAAGGGTTGGGTAGTGCTGAGTGAGAGCAAGTGTGCTTATGGGAGGCTGTAGGGAGGCGGGTTCTGAACTGGACACTCACAGTGCGGTGACAGAAAAGGCACGGTTCTTGTCCTTGAGGGGCTTCTGAGCAGGATGGAGACAGGTGATGAAGGCGTGTGGCAATCCCAGGCCAACACCCTGGGTCCCTGCACTGCCATGGGAGAAAGTAACTCACTCCCAGGGACAGAGAGAAGAGGGGGAGAGAACGACTGGCACTGCCCTCCCCCGCTCGCCTCGGACCCACAGGGTCTCGTTCCCTTCCCACCTGGAGCCCGGGGTGGGGAGGTTGACTGATGTGGGGGCCTCCAGGCTCACGGACCCTTTGTCTCTCTCTCAGTCAGATATCGGCTTTGGGAAACTGGAAACATACGTGAAACTAGACAAACTGGGAGAGGTAAGAGGCCAGGTTGCCAGGCAGGATGGCGAGGAGGAGGAAGGGGGTCTCCCCAGCCTCCCCTGGCCTGTGCTCACGCCCCTGCCCACAGCTCCTGCCATCCACGCTCTTGGCCATGCAGTCTGCCTGGCCCTGCCTTTGGCAGGTGTTAAGGTGGGCCCAGGTCCTGGCAGAGGCTCTGAGGATGGAGTGGCTGATGGACTCTGGGGCAGAGTGCAGTCTTTTTATTCTGCAAGTATTTCATGCCTGGGATCATGTCCCAGCTCCACTGTTGGCTAGCTGTGTGGCCTGGGGTGAGGTCTGGGGTGACCTCCCCACTGTGCCTTGGTTTCCCCCTCTGTCAGTGGAAGTGGTAACTGTTCTACCTCATGGGGTGCTGTGAGGACTGAGGAGGTCCCTAGAATAACCTTTTGTGCTGTGTATTTACTTGCTATTTCCATTATTACTGCATTGGCCTTTGTGTTCCAGGCTGGGGGTGGGCAGTGGTTTACAGAGAGGAGGAGGGTGTAGCCCTATCCTTCTAGGAAGCCAGAGGAGACCTGCCTGTAAACATTGGCAGAATATAAGGAAGAAAAAGCTAGTGCTGTTATAGAGGGGCACCTCACCTGCTGGGAGCTTACAGGAGAGACATTCCTTCTGACCAGGGAGGAATTAGGGACAGCTTCACAGACAAGCGGGCTTTGGAGGAAAGGGAGTTTCAGTGAAGGGTAGAGGGTGGGGAGGGTAGGCAGGGCGTGCATGCCAAGTCACTTCAGTCGTGTCCGCCTCTCTGCGACCCCATGGACTGTAGCCCACCAGGCTCCTCTGTCTGTGGGATTTCCCAGGCAGGAGCACTGGAGTGGGCTGCCATCTCCCCCTGCAGTTGGCAGGGCAGTCTGGCCCACCTCACGGCCCAGGCAGAGGCACAGAGAGGAGGGCGCTGGACAGAGGAGAGCCGGCCCTGAGTGCGGTTCTCGCTCCCAGGGAACCTATGCCACGGTCTTCAAGGGGCGCAGCAAACTGACGGAGAACCTCGTGGCCCTGAAGGAGATCCGGCTGGAGCATGAGGAGGGGGCGCCCTGCACCGCCATCCGCGAGGGTGCGCCCCGGGGTCCTGCGGGCTGGGGGCACCGGGGGCCAGGAGACGTGGCTGGAGCGGGGCCTCCGAGGCGGATCCCCGGAAGAGGGTGAGGGGCGGGCGGGGCTCAGGCGCACCTGTCGCCCGCAGTGTCTCTCCTGCGGAACCTGAAGCACGCCAACATCGTGACGCTGCATGACCTCGTGCACACCGAGCGCTCGCTCACCCTGGTGTTTGAGTACCTGGTGAGTGCGCGGGGCTGGGGCGGGCTGGCCCGGCCTGCCCCCAGAGGCCCCAGCCAGGGACTGCCGAGGGCCCAGGCTCGGGGGTTCCCACTCGCCGGCTGGGCCCTGCCTACGGGAGGGCTTCTGGCCAGGGATTGGTCAGTGTGGGGCTGAGCCAGGCCCCGTGTTCCAGGACCGAGACCTGAAGCAGTATCTGGACCACTGTGGGAACCTCATGAGCATGCACAACGTCAAGGTGAGAGCCTCCTTGTCACGGACCGCCCCCCACCCCCNTGCTCCAGCCTCGGGCTGCCCCCTTCCCTCTCTCCCTCCAGATTTTCATGTTCCAGCTGCTCCGGGGCCTCGCCTACTGCCACCGCCGCAAGATCCTGCACCGGGACCTGAAGCCCCAGAACCTGCTCATCAACGAGAGAGGGGAGCTGAAACTGGCTGATTTTGGTGAGGGCCAGAGCCTGTGGGGCTGGGAGGACCTGACAATCTCTCCGGGATGCGGGTGCCGTGGAGCGGGGAGGTGCAGTGACGGTTTGCTCCTAGGACTGGCCCGGGCCAAGTCAGTGCCCACGAAGACCTACTCCAATGAGGTGGTGACCCTGTGGTACAGGCCCCCCGACGTGCTGCTGGGGTCCACGGAGTACTCCACCCCCCTCGACATGTGGTAAGCCGGCCTGTGGGACGTCCCGACTCGCCTCTGCTGCCCCACGGGCTTCTTCAAAGGGCTGTCTAACTTCCTTTGAATAAAAGCTCTGTGGCATCCTACTGAACTGGATGTCAGAGAACTAAGTCAAAGCTACATTGGGGTTTCCCTGGTTCTCAACAGACTGTGCTGGGCTGTGCTTCTGAAATACCCCCCCAGGAGTACATAGGGGGTCACCAGAGGGTGCAGGAGGGCTCCCACAGTGCATATGATGAATCTTCCCCAAGCATCAGTTCTGCTGAAAAATTTAGAAGGGATGCATGCTTTTTGTGTTAAAATTAACACACACAGGATTCAGTGTAGAATGAAAAGTTGGCCCAGGTTTCCAGGTAAAACACAGGTCTGTGATGAATGGCCTCTGCGGTCTGCAGGGGTTTCCTTGGAGAGTGGATCTGTGGACTTCTGTCTTCCTGTGTGGGTACACAATGGACAAAGTTTGAGATAGCGCAGCTTGAAGAGCCGCCACAGGAGTGCTGGCTATGCAGACACAAACCCTACAGAGTGAAAGGGAGAGAGCTCAAAGTGTCCTGGAGCCCAGAGGCTCCCCAGACGGAGACAGCAGGGGGGGCGGTGCTGTGCTAGGGGCCTCGGCACCCTTAGGGGCCCCCACCCCCATGCCATGACCCACTGGAGCCTCCGTGGTGGCGGATCCTGGGGGAGCAGCTCCAGGGAGCGCGGGTGCAAGGAGCCTCAGGCTGACACCAGCCCTGCCCATCACTTCCTGCAGGGGTGTGGGCTGCATCCACTACGAGATGGCCACAGGGAGGCCGCTCTTCCCCGGCTCCACGGTCAAGGAGGAGCTACACCTCATCTTCCGACTCCTCGGTCAGTCTCCTGCCTCTCCCTCCGTCTCACCTCGAGGGGGCACCAGCACCCCGTCCAGCATGGACGCTTCCTGGGTCGGGCAAGATCCTCCAGGGTGGGGGTCCCGGTGGCCTCGGCCACTCTCTGCCCCCACCTCCTCCCTTGCCCCCCACCCCACGTCACCCTCAGCCCTGGCCTCTCACCCTCCCAACCCCTTCTCATCTCCCC